GGAAAAAGTTCAGAGAGATACTAGATTGATCAAAGCACTCAGCTAGGGTAAGAAACTAAAGGGTGTGAGTTATTACTGCCTGGAGAAGAAATGGCTGCTGCAGAGAAGATACAAGAGGCAAACATCAAAAAACTAAAGACCATTCTTGCATTACGGGCCTGAAAGGGACTTGGTACATTGCTTACAATCCATTTGCATTACACTGCTGGGCAAAAATAATCCTGATGAAACACAGCAGTTAACCACCTCTCTCCAAACCCAGTGCAGTGCCCTTCCAGCACCATTGGAGTTGCCATCAGGCGTCTGCCAGCAGCAAGGCTGGCGCTTTCATCCTGGGCCACTCACCCCGGTGCACCACACAGTCCCTGACCCCTGTGCAGGACAGGGTTTGGGACATGAACTCTCACAAATCCACCCATGACACTGGAAGATGTTTCCCTCCAGCCCTCTGCTCCACCCCACTGCCACAGGCTATTGCCCAACAGCAGAGAGGATCATGTCCTGCAGCCGTGCCAGCCCAAAACACAATGTCCTGACCCCAGCTGCGAAGGAGCTGCTGTGTGCCTGAGGGAGAAGCACACTTTAACCCGTTTTAGCTGCTTGTCAAGCAAACATGAGTCAGATCCCTAACATACCAGTAGATATTAAATGGCAGCCAGAGCCTGCTAAGGGACTGGGACTTCTGCTTCTCATCAGCGTTGAGCCAAGTAGAGCTGAGCGGTTGCCAAAAGTGAAAGTCCCTTTCCTACCTCTTACACTGGCTCAGTTACTCACACGGCTTGCAAATATGGGAGAGCTAAACCCTAAGAAAACTGAAATCACTTAGGTTTTGTTGTGCTGGTTCTGCTAGGTTTCTGAACATTCAGCTTCCTGAAAACGTCCAAATAAGCAAGGGAAACAGTAGGAGCATACAGCAAGGAGAAAAGCCACCCTCTCAATGCAGTCTCATGATGAGTTTTCTGTTGGTTGGTTACCTAACCCAGCAAAAAGAAGGGTCACCAATGTAGCCAGCCACATAAGCACTAATGCCAGTACAGACAAGACTGAGAAAATTGCAGGTGGGAGAAGGGAACAGAACCACAGCCTTTAGGGGAAAATAGCACTTACACCAGACCATGAGGCTGCAGCCACATAGTGATCCCTAAGGTGACTTGGTCAGTACCTCAGGAGGAGAGGACACACAAAGATCTCCAGAAAGGGAGAAAACAAAAAACATGTTTACTCCTGCTTATGCTGGGGAATTATTCTCTACAATACTTCCCTTAGGAACCTAAGAGCAGCCAAGACAAGGAAGCACAGGCTGAGCTGGGAGCCCCTCAGCCAAGCTTGAGGCTACAGCCATGCCTGTGTTCTGCTCAGGGGAGTAAAAACCCACCAGCCGCTCACACAGTGTTGCAGGTGGCACATGAGCATTGCAGCATGCAAGAGCTGGGTAAAATCACTGCAGCTCGTTTTCACACACGCATGATAGTCTTGGTAGAGCAACAACACTGTAGATAAAAAGCTTAGAAATTTTTCACATTGAAGGTCATATGAAAAGCTAATCTGAATCAACATCTTTTGGTGATAAGGGACCCTATTCAAAGGATCAAAGTCTCTTAATTTCCTCTTTGCACAACTGACAGATTCAGCTGGTACTTTGCAGTCATACAGGTGGCTCGACAATGATGAAGTGTTCATCCCAAGCTGACATACAGTTTGAATAACAAAAATATACTGGCAGTCACTGCACAATATAAACTTATTTATAATGCAAACAAAGATCCTGTTTTCCTTCTTAATCTATACCCAACTGTATTTGAGACTAAGGAAGTCTAGCAACAAATGAATCTAAACCACAGGGGAGGGAAAAAGAGTTTAAACAGAATTCACATTTTGAAGTCCAAATGATATGATATCTCTAAAACACAATCAGCTTTTTTTTTTGTTTTTTCATTCTGCTTTGATTTATGTCCAGCCAAACATATTAGGTGCAAGCTTGGGGCCTGGAAAGCTTACAGAAGTCTGAAAGAAGAAGCTGGAGTACATCACCAACAGAGGAGAAGCTGAATTGCCCAGGCAGGTCTTAACAGCACCAGCCAAAGAGAGGGAGTGGGCAGGACATCCTTTATTAGCAACCTTGGAGGATGCTAACCTCATTAAGCACCAGCATTGCGCCGACTGAACCGCAAATGTACATTCCCTGCACACCCACGCCGGCTCCCAGAACTAACGCATAGCTGGGAGCTGGATTGCCATGAAACACAGGCTGGACAGGTACAGGGCAGGAGAGAAACCTTCCACCTAAGCACTGCCACTCTCCAATAGACGTGGCTCCCTCTCCAAATTTAAAAACCAGTCTTTAAGTTCTCACCCTTTATCAGGAAAAAAGACCCCTTAAGGGCAAGGCAGACATCAATCTTAGCTAGAAACCTTCCTCTTAATCTTGGCTGATGCACACAGGGCCACAGTGGTGACTGGCACCTACAGGGAATTTCTGCCTGGGAAGAAGGGAAAAGGTTCTTTTCGTGGAGTAAATCCCACATTCCACATTGATCTTGTCAGTAACTCATTGAATGGCTCTAGGGAGTCAGATAGATTTTTGAAACCAATTTTTTTTTGAAGTGTAAATGCTTGTCTATTATTAAAGAAGAGTTAAATATTTTCAACCACCTGTCATGGTTTGGTAACTCTCCAGGCACTTCCCCCTCATTCCTAGATTGAAAATAAAAACCAGACCCAAAGATAGCTTTTGCTGCATTAGAGTACGTTGGGAGCGTACTTTCTTAGCCCCTGTATAAGGAGTCAAAAAAGTCTCACACATAGGGAAAATGAAAAGCACTCTGGACTCCCTGAAATATTGCACTACTCACTGTTTGAATGGTAGAGAATACCTCTAGAGAGACTGGCACAAGTTAAAAACATGTTTCTTACTGCATTGAGAGCAATCTTTTTGGGTTAGAGACCTCTCACGCATCAACTTTCACCTTGACTGAAAGCACGCTTTGGATTTCAGTTTCTCCCTGCACCTTGCACCATCATACCTCAGATTGCTCATACTGAATACGCTCTTGGACGCTAGTAGATTTAGGGTGATTTAGTATTTTTTTTAATGATAGTTTGATGTGCTGTATCATGCAGGGCTAGATCTGGCAAGCCAGCCCTGATACCTCCAGAGAAAACAGAGATGGAAAGGACTGACCAAGACCCTGCTTTTGGTCCTTTCTGCTTTGCAGCTAACCACAGCACATGAATACAGACCGGGCCGTGGCAAGTATCTGGGCATTATTAACAAATTAGCAGTTTCTTAATTCCCCCTTTTCTTTTGTCCTGTGTGCACAGGACTCATGCACACCCGATGGCTTGGTCTTTTTTCACCTTGACAAATCCTTCCTCCTGCTCCCCCACTTTACAACAGCACAGCAGTGGGGCAACCAGGGAAGTTTCACAAGGCCTACCAAACAGTTTCCAGTTCAGCCCAGACCCTCGTGAAGAAATACAAAGCAGCCATGGAAAACATCTTTCTTCTACAAAACCTCGAGGCCACTATTGTCAAGTGAAAATGTGCCCGAAAGATGTCTGTGTTAGGGCAGATTCATTCCCCAACACACTAAAGTTGCAGCCACCTTTCCCCCTTGCAGAATCAGCATGGATACAGCAGTAAACCCAGGCCAAGGCTCACCCTGGCCACCCAGCACCATGTTGCTTGGGACAGTGGCCTGGCTTTTCCTGCTGCTTCCCGCGCTGGCGCGGCTTCAGAGGCTGCCCGTGGCCATTGTGTGGTGCAGACGGGGCCCCGGCGAGACTCCCCCTGCAAGGCTGTCTGGGGGAAAAGGTTGTTTTATTTATGGGGAGGAAAAAATAAAGCTCCTGTGTTGTTTTTTCATTCGTGATGAAGAGGAGGAAGAGAGTTCTCTTATTTTTGGTAACACTAAATAGAGCGTGTTCACTGCGCGCTGCTTTCAAAGGGACAGAAGGAAGTGTGGCGGCTGGGTATCAGATGAGCCCGAGCCTCAGGCGCCCGAACGTAGGTGAGCCTCATCCAGAACAGCCCCGTGAAACGGGAGCGGAGCTGCCAGTCCCACAGAGTGCCATAGCCCTGGGGTCATCGGGCGAAGACAGCACAGTGGCGGGGAGGCCCTGCATCCTCCATGTTGTGAATCCACCCTTCCTTTCTGTGGTGTCTCCTGCAGTTCAATGAGGCGCTTTGTTCCATGTTTGCTTGACCCAGAATGAACCTCGAGGTTTTAAATTCACCAATAAGCCAATACAAAAAATGTTTTTTTGAGTTAATGCCTCCAATTTAGTTTCACATTTATGTGTTGACAGCCAAACAAAAAGAAAGTAAGCATTCACACAATGGAGTTCTGTCTTCCACTTGTTTTTCACATGAATGAGATTACATATTTCTAGTTACTGGCCCTGGGAAACTCTTCTAGATTTTATTTTTAAATCAAATAGAGATGCTCGGGAGAAGAGTTAAGATTATACTAAGCAGGGATAAGTTAAGTTTTCCTCAGCAACTCTGTCCCTTGGAGAAGGCTTAATACTATTTATTTTATTTATCTGCTACATTTAGCTGGACAGAGTCCATATTCCATTACAGTTCAGAAGTGATATATTTCATCCTGTCCTAATAATTCCCAGTTAATTATTACAATCAAATGTGTTTGCTTAAAACCAAGCATTTACCAGAAATCATGCTGTAGAGCTCATTTCTTTAGGAATCAATGTCATTTTACTCTGAATTTCCATAAAAGAAAATACAATTTTAAAATGGAAACTTGTAGATACAATGGAAAATGAATTCCATTCAGATGATGCAATTAACCCCCAGTATAAATAATGTGTAGTGTATATTGTAATATGATAATGTGAAAGTCCAAAAGAACTCATTCCCAGACCACATCAGAAAATCTACTGAGTCAACAACTGCAGCAGACAATAACAGCACGGGTTAAAGGAACACAGCTTTAAAGCCGGGTAACTCAAACTGTACAGCATTTAGAATGAACTAAATATGACCATTCACACTCAGGCGCTACCTGAATTCACTCAGAAAAGATGTGCTATGTAAGATTCTGCATGTGAAGCAACAACTAGTTCAACTTGCCATGTCAAATTACTGCACGTGGAAGACTGTTCCTGCCTCTGTTTTGCATTATCACCACCGGTTTCTAAATCATTTAAAAGGAAAATTATTTGCTTAATCCGTTTGCTTAGGATTTGTTTAAATTACATTAAGCAAACACATCTGAAGCTCACTTTCTTGCCTAAAGATTCTCTGTGCGCATAGGATGTGGCTAAGGAACAGATGTAAGGAACTGAAACGAAAAAAAGGGCACTATTACAGCAATAAATGTGTTGCTTCAACTGTTCTCTCAGAGCAAAAAAAAACACCATCATTTCAGTGTGATATAAGTGACTCAACTACATACATAGAAATAGTGCAAGAACCATATGGTAATGATTACTAGAAGTGCATAGTTCACTTTTTTTTGACAAGAGCCACATGGCTTTTTTTAATCTATTGTATCACATATATGATGTAACAGTATATCAATGCAAATCAAACAAATGCAAAGCAGCTTTCCAGCTGAGGCTCCAGACACACAGAAGTTGGGCAGCTCCAACCTCTGGGTCCCACTCCCAACTCAGCCTTCGACGCTCAAATTTTCTCTTTCTAGCTGCAATGTTAAAAATGCATGGTTTAAATCACCAGAGAAAGGAGAGAAACCACCACCACATTTATTAGGAATTCCAACACCACAGCAAAACCGAACACAAGTTAAAACCATCTCCCTTCTGAAGCTGCCCAGAGTGATCACCTTGGGAAGGAATTACTTATCAGTTCTTAGCAAATACAGGGGCATCCCTCTTACACAGCGACACCTTTACCATGCAGTTTGGTTTAACATCAACCTGCCACTTGGCCCACAGCTTAAGGCTACAGCAGGGAAACAAAACAAAATTCAGCAGAAGTCCTAGCTACTAAGCAGATCTATATGGCACTACACAGTAAAAGTAGCCAAGATGAAATGGCTGTAGGTCAGTCCTGCTAATAATTTCCCCGGTGCACCAAAAATCCAATGTGGTAACGCTTCAGAAACTCATTACTACAATGTTCTTGATTTCTTTTAGAGACATGCAATATCTAAAGGCTGCAAGAAATGCGCCCCAGCCCCAGGAAACAACACATTCATCTGGTATGAGTTCATGATGCTGTATCAAAAACACACCAGAGAGGATCCTGATGGGTTAACTCTGATGCAAGCCAGGCTGGACTTCTGAGAAGGGTGCCTGAGGGACAACATAAAACTTTGTACCACAGCATCCCAAAGGGAAATGCAGTGTTTGGGATTCCTTGATGATGATTATCCTTTGCCCAACCACTTCCTGCTCTCCTGTCACCCCTCAACCCAAAACACCAGGTTTGTCCCATCTTGACAACTTTGAATACTGGGAGGATTCACACTACTCCTCACAGCAGGAACCTGCTGCTCCAGGCATCACTCCTGGCCCTGCCACCTCTGCCCCTGTCAACTCCCTCTCTGCATCCACTGCTGCTGTACATCATCCACTGTAAAGAGCAAAGCCTGCCCGCAGTGCCAAGCACCTTGCTATAACTGCAGCCATCAATAAGGGTGTGATTAGGTGCAGACTCAGGTTGTTGTGCTGCTCAGGCTGAAAGCAAAAAGGAGTTGGGTGAGATGTCTACTCTGAGGCAATTGGGAATACCTTCAAGAGACTGTTGCACTGGCTCTGTAAGGAAGGGAATTACCAAAAACACCTCCATACAATACTGCTCATATCCCATGGTATACAGCACATGAAGCAGCCACCTTGATGCTGTGCAAGCCAGGAAACTTCATGAGTTGCACCAGCCAGCAACAGTTGTCACATTACTTTGTTGTCTTGGCAGTGGCCATTCAAAATGCAATTGCAGACTGCACCTGCCTGACTCAAGCCTGTACCACCAGTTCTATTGCATTTTACAGAACCAATTTTTAATAATCCAAATTAATCCTAATTAATAGGGGAAGCTGTGGCAGCATCATAAAAAGTAAAAGGTATTCTTCACATTAGAGGTTTGGATTTAGCAGAGTTCAGAGGTCTTAATTTCATAACTATGCATTAAGGTCAAGCCAGCAAAGGGATTACATTAATCTAGCTTCTATTTCAATGAACAGAAAAAAAGCTCCCATTATTGTCCCATCACATCACTTGGTTTTATGAATCACATATAAGTAAGATGACCATTTATAAATCCAGAAAAAATAATCAAGTCTTTCTCATTTTGTTAAGTCTACAAAGTTTAGATGTGGCAGGAAAGTGAGCTAATTTAAAATCATAGTTTGGGTCAGCGTATCTATTTACAGTGTTCAATTGCATGATCATATCATTTTGCACAGCCTTCTTTATATTGGCAAGCTATAAAAGAGCTTCTTCGAATGGAACCATTGTTCTGCAGCACACTCTAAGAATAGCATAGACTATATATAAGGTCTCAGCTCCAGGGTTGTGCAGAGGACCTGCCTTGATAAATTCAGAAGTTTCCTATTGCATCAAAGTTCCTTCCTCCTTTCTCTTCCCAGTCTCTCTTGCCCAAATATACCAGACTGTATTTGGCCCAAGCAGCTCCACGCCCCAGCCCCACTCCCAGACAGATTAGGTACTGATCTGTCTTTTCTTTCGTAGCGCAGACAACTGCATTTTATTGTTTCCAAATCTGTAAGGCTGCTTTTTTTTCAACCACATTTAGCCTAGCTTGTCACACAGTAACAGAAGTAGGTGCTATTTGCAGGTCAGTATTTTCACTTGCTTGCTGAAAGATGCTCACAGAAAGCATCCCCAGGCCTCTCTTCTGGACAGTGGACGATGGCTTTATCCAGAAACAGAGCAGTGGCACTTCAGTCCTAAGTCTATCACCATAAAATCATTGGGAAGTCCACTAGAAAACTCAGTGTATGATACTATGCACTTTTTCCACAGAAGTAAGAATATTGTGGTCGATAGTACAAGGACTTTAAAGCAGCTATGAAGTTTAGATTTGCTTTTAGCGGGTGAGAGAAGAAAACAAAAGAAGAGTTTCTTCTTTCCTGGTTGGTTAAAGAAACTGTAAGAACATCAATGCTGGTGACATTTGATAATGCTTATATGGAGGGTTGGTAACAAAAAATAGAACATGAACTGGCAGGAAAAAAGAAAAATCCTGGGTTTAAACCAAGGAGAAAACAGAGGAAATAAAGTTACAAAAGGAGCTGCAACTCCTTTTTGCTCCTGTCAGAGATTTCCAATATCCTCCCAAATCAGGGCCTCAGTGAAGGAAAAGGGAAAAGCAGAGCTTATGCAGCTCAGACTTCCAGGGAGTCCCGAGGGCATGCTGACCTCCAGAGACAAAGGGTGCTTTAGCAAGTCTGCTTTGGTCTCTGCCTGAAGAGGCCTTTGCTTAGACCCAGAGCAAAGTAACTGTGGGATCAAAACCACCTGTGCAAAGCTCTTGTTATCTGTAAGTGTTTGCTAGTGCTTCTCAAAGGCCTCCTAAAGAAATGAAATGTAAGAGGGAGGACAGTGCCAATTCCCAAATATCACTGGAGGCGACATCAGAAGAACACTTATCGCCAAGGACCAGAAGTGCCTGACAGACACTCAGGAAATCAACGCAGGGAGTTACCAAGAGGTTAGATTTCATCACAGCAAGTCACCAGAAGTTATGTGAGACTATATTTTTTTCGGGCTTGTAGATGTGTTCAAAACTATGCAGACTGTTTCCATGCAATTTCTTCTAATCTAACCCACTCCGCATCCCCAGACATGCAGACCGGGAATGCAGTAGTCTGGCACTAGCTGCTCACCAGAGGGAAGAGGACCCAGCTGCTATTTACACGTCATACATTACTATCCACTTTTTCTTAGCAAGTGACTTCAGACTGTGGCATGGACAAATACTTGAGGGACAGACCCTCATTTTATTTCAGTTTTAGAAATCCTATCAGCATGATCACTGAAGAAACACCTCCTAGAAAAGCTACATGTAAACTTACAGAGCTAAGTTATAAAACTCTGTTAGTTTTGGCCTGTATCTGGTCCCTCTGGAGTTATCTGGCCAGCACTCCCAGTTTCTGAGAATCTCTCAGTATTACAACAGGGAGATTTCTTCAAGCACACACTCTGATGCACTGTGGGGACATTTCTGCATCTTTAAAGAACCCGACTTCTCTGGAACTGAAGAAACCATGAAAGATACAGAAAAATACAGGCAGTGTAGCTGTATTTCAGTAGATCTCCTTTCAAAGTCCCCCAAGCTGTGTGAAATCTTTACATTGGCTCAAACAGGATCTTCTGAATAAATAAATGGGGCAAATTTGGCTTTCACTAATAGCTAGAATGCTTATCATTCTATCTGGACATTACCCTTTCACATGCTTGAAAATTCTACATTGATTAATAGTATTAGAGCGTTATCTAAACGAACATGCTGTCTCTGTCCTCAGGCACTGCTGGTCTTCTCTGTAGCAGACAGTGCAAAGAAACAAGGTCCAAAACATCTAAGAAAGTGAAAAGGAAAAGGGAAAAGAAAAGAGCATTCAAGATACTGCTTCAGCTGAGATCTCTGCAGCAAGTGATGAAATGCCCTGAAAATATGAAGTAAAATCTGGCCTTCAGAAAGGAGGTCCCCCTAGGTTTAGAGTGCACTGAAGGGCTCAGATTACTTCTCTGAAAAGTGTATTTTGGCTTTACTATTAGAAGCACTCCTGGACCACTTGGCCTTTCCACTGACTTCTTACAGGATTTAATTACAGTTGCTGCACTAGGCTGTATGCAAAATATGACATGCAAACATATTACCTGGCAAAGCTGAGATGTAGATGAGTAGCATGTGTTCCACTAGAGGGAAAGAGTCATTTGAGCAGAAGGAAGAAACAATCTGATGCGAGCTACAAGCCAAATCTGTGGCAGAGCCAAACTCAGAAGCCAGGCAATGAAAAAAGCTTTGGGATGGTGGCTACTTGCTGAATTCAGGGAAAGAAGAGAGGGACAAGAAAATCCTCTCTGCTAAAACTAACTGCAATGTGTCATTTGATTATCCAACTACAAAAGCATCACCAATACAAAGCACATCAAGCAACCTGGCATACTTAAAGGCAACAAGCAATAAACAGTGATGCAAGACATGATTACGGTAAGTCACCTGGATAATGTGATAGATCCCATAATTCATCATCATCACCCAAATAAACTGTAAAGCTGTCTTCATTACTTACACATGTAATATCTTCAGTCTGTAAGTGTTCACTGCTGGTAGAGGGAAGTTAGCACTCACTGTGAGCATGGCAGCACAAACCATCCTCCAGATACGTGCACTGAAATGGTCCCACTTTGCTCTCACAAGCAGGTCATATACATCCAGGGGAGCACCATTTGTATCCTTAATGTTTCTGGCCAGTTTACAGTAGCTTAAATAAAACTTTAACACGGGTGGCTGAATAGTATAGCATCTGCATTTTCTTCACAATATGAACCAATTTTATACCCTCAAACAGCAGGGATGATTTTGTTTGATAGAACACTTTATGAAAATGGCTTATCATTTTACAGAGATAAATAAAAAGTAAAATTCCATTAAAAAAAAAACAACACTAAATCTAAGGCTGAATTTAAAGAAAAAAATAGGGGAAGAGAAAAAAAATCAATTTGATAGATAAAGCCTTTACATGGAAAGCTAAAAGAAGACCCAACATATAAATCATTTTAAAAAGTCCAAAGGAGGCCCGAGAACCCAGGTAGTACATCCCTGTGCTTTCAGGGCTGACCACACATCATTTCTGACTGATAGGATTTCTAAAGATATTTCTCAGACTTGTTTTTAAAACCTTCACCATCAACCTTCGCCATCTTCTGCCATCCCACTTTTCACCATCCTCTCCCCAAGGAAGTATTTCCTAATACCTTCTTCCACTGAAGCCTCCTGCCTAAACCTTTTCTTTTTTTTTAACATAAGTCCATTAATTCCTGTCCTAGTGAGGGTGGATGGGTAACAATCCCACATTGCCTTTGGTTCTGCAGTAACCTTTTACTTGTTTGAAGATTATCACCATGTTTTCCTTCACTCCTCAGAGGAAAGTGAACAGCTTGCTTTCTGTGACTTTCCTCATGTTTGAAGTATACCTCTGATCAGTTCCATGTCCCACACAACAGTGATCTCCAATTCATCTTTGCATTTCTTTATTTCAAGTGTTTAACCTTGCACACATTTCTCCAGTTCAGAGGGTTAACCTCTGATGTACACCCCTCCTTGGCCCTGCTCCTGTTACAACACTGCTTTTCCCCAGCAGCTGGGCACACATTCTTACAGGACATCTTACCTTTTAACTCACTCAACAAGAGAGCCTTTCCAATGAAAAACACCACTGCTGATCACTGCTTCCAGGAAGGGATTAATGGTTGTGGCCATCCTGCACTAGAGCAGAAGTAGAGAGATTTGAAAGGCTTTATCAGTGCTCTAGCTCATTCACTAAGGCACCAAATCCTCACACGCCATCAGTGTAGGAGACGGCTTTGATGTAGGAAAGCTTTGATGGTGGAATTTTCATGTGCCAGAATTACCAGGGATATAAACACTCATACAGCTAGCTGATGGTCTTCTACTTAAAAACACTGAGGGTGCAGCCTTCAACCTGCAGCATGGAGCACTGTGGCTGAACTCTAGGAGGGCAAGGGGCCACACCACACACAGACCCCATGCTGAGCTCCCAGCCATGCTGGCACACCAGATTGCTCAGCCCTGCCATGGTACAGTTCCCACCTCTCCATGTTTTGTTCATCCAGTTCTCTCTTTTCTGCACTTATTTTGGTTGCCCAGTTGACCAAGGAAGAGTACCACTAATACGCATGCACAGAGTAAGAAGCACCTATGTCACTGAAATTAAGAGACCATCCACACAAAAAAAAATATGTAAAAAAAATTTAAAGGAAAAAAAAAGGTTGTTCATGTACAAGGCAAGTTGAGAAACCCTCCCTGTAGTTGTGGAGGAACAGCTGATCAACACTTGGTGTATTACCTGGGTGCAAGAGCTGATTCTTTAACGCACATTGAGGGTTTCACATTTTTAAAGTGGCTAATGACTCTTTACTACATTTCTCTGCAAGCAGTTGAATTGTGTCTCTGAAAAACATGGGACCAGTTCAGAAATACTTTCCATATTAGATCTGTAGTGAAGCTAGAAGAAAGAACTGCTCCTGCTGTTGTGCGAAACAGTAAACCCTGTCAGTCTTCAGACATGCAAAGCCTCCAAGGAAGCCACCTCATACACTCAGGCCTGGGTCTCTGCTGCACCTATTATCTAAGCCACTACCAAAAAAGCTACACAACATCTGAGAAACAAAAGCAAACATATTCCACTGAGAGTATTTTCCCATCCTTTCGTCTATCATCACTGTTAAAATGCTCAGCCACTGTCACAGTTTTTCTTTCCAGAGCCCTTTACAGACATCAACAATGGTGGTAGGCACTGCAGTGAGGAAGAAACACAAAGCAGGTCTGCAGAAGTGAGGAGAGTTCCCTCTCAGAAGCCTTTCATTTGTCATATGATACTTTCTGGTTAAGTGATCACCTCTGATTTATGGAATCAGAGTCTTAATCATGTACTTGGCATCAAGCAAAGGAACTACCAGAAATATTAATAGGGTTATCCAGAACTGGCGATTGAAGTCCCTGTTGTTTAAAGCAAGAGTTAGGCAGTATTATCACATGATCCCCTCGCTCAGACTCTTTGAAGTGCTATGAAAACATTTTTTTAAAGCAATATTTGCCACAGGGTAGTCACTCATGTTATATCTGTCTTACCCCTCCTCTTTTCATCTGTGAGCACCTCATTACCAGTGGATAATACTGATGCGGTAATACCACTTTCCCTTGGGAACAAAATAATAATCATCTGTGTCATTCGAGAAGGATCCTGCTTGGGCCTTGATGAGCAGGAATGCACACCTATAAAGCATGCCTGAGAAAAACATTGGATTTCTGTTCTGTTCTCAGTTCAAGAAATACAGGTACAATGTGTGACCACTGTTTCTAGTAAAGAGTTTTGAATATGCTTTTGTTTGCACAAAGAGCAAATGCATTTGCCCGTTAAGGCAGAAAATAAACTAATGATGTCAGTAAATGCAACAACAGTGTTGTTGCTATTAATATATTTCTATTTGTCTGTAGACTATGTTAAGTATTTCTTTCATTAGATTGGTATTTCAGTGCTATATTTTCTTCTCCCTAGAACATAACCTACTAAGACTCACACTGTAATAGGCTTCACAAGAAAATGACCTGTTTAAATGAGCTCAAGAAGTCAAGGATAGGGTGAAAAGGAGCACAGACTGCAAGTGCTAGCAAATGTGATGAAATCTTTGTACACAGTGTACTTGTCCGTATTTAGCAGAATTTCTCAAAGAAATATGGCAGGTCATACCATTAGTGGAGAGGAGGAGATAAAACATGGCTAAATTCTACAGAGATAAATGATGAGCCCCAATCCTGCTTTGGGAATTTTGATTCCATTTCCTTTGCCTGAAACACAACAGTCCCTCAAACCCTGTAAAGCAGCCCATTGTGTATGGCACTTCTCAATTGTGGAAGAGTTAAGTTAAACTCTCCCCAGTCTCTCAAGTCATTATCAAAACCTCCATCAAGAATATGTAGACAAAAGAACAGTGCTATTGCAGAAGCCCAAACACAGGGCTTCTTGCAGACAGCAGGCTTTACAGCCATGCTGCAAGTCCTCCATAAAGCAAAGCATCACCCTGCTCTAATCGCAATAGAGCCCCTCTGTCACTTCACATCTGCCTTTTTAGGAAGACAAACTGCTCCAAATCTTACAATTGCTCTGGTTTTGTTTTGCTTTGCTTTTGAGATCAATGAACTTCAGAGAAATATAAAGGTAACCTCCACATACTAACGCAGCCTAAGCTTATATTCAAAGAGGGGGTGCTCTTCCATGAGAAAATGAGATTTTTCATGCTGTTCCTGTCTTGGTTCTTTTTCCCAAAACAAGCTCCAAATGACAGTGCCCAGCATGTCCAAGCCATGCCTCCAGACCAGAGAGTGAAGGTCACCCCCCTGAGCCAACTGAAGGATAATGGCAGAGTGGAACAATATGAACCAAAGCTATTTTTAAACTTTATCGTCAAGGGAGTTAAAACACTGTACTTAATGGTAGCTGTTGTCAAGATTAACTATAGTATCGTGGGAAAAAAAGGACTAAAGTCACATAATAATTACATACACTTTGATGTTTATTAAGAACAGCTACTCTTGTAAAATTATAAAGCTGCCTTCACAGATTAGGGCTTAAATTCCATCAGCACCTTTGTTGTAATATTTAGCGAGATTAGTCATTTTGTTAATGAAACATACAACTGGATTACACTTTTTAAAAACGCTTTATATACAGACCTTGTAACTTACAGGTATATGACTGAGTTGACGTTACACATACGCGTTAAATCTGTCCTCAACAATGAGCCTCACTCTCGTGTGCAGGGATGTGTGTACAGACGAATTTTAGCTTTTGACATGTAAGTGTACTTCTACTTTTATGCAAGGCTCCATATTTACAGGAGTTTGGAAATCCCAATTTACTTGGAAATGACAAGTATCACAAAAGAATTTCATTCACCATGGTCAGACTTGGCAGAGAGCAGCTTATAAAACAAAGAGGGAGATGCATGAAGAAAAAGTATCCTTCCATTAATTCTCATCAATACAAAAACACATCTAGAGAAGGGGCAAAACTAACTATTCCTTCAGTTTGCTTCTCCTGGACCTAAAGCTACAGTGACCAGGTAACTTAGTTGTGCTCAGTACAACCCCTGTTGACATCATATCTGTGTGTTTTCCAAGCCTTTGAATATTCATTACACAACGTCCTGGAGAGGCAGCAGTTGTTGCTATTATTCTTTTCTGGATGGAGACTGAAGCAGAGCGAAAGAAAGGGCTTAATCTGAATGAAAAATAAATAAATAGGCACTTAGAGTCATTTAGAAGAAATTACGGTATGCAAGTTCAAGCAAGTGATCCATAAGATCTCCACCCAGCTGCCTAAGCTGTAGGGTGTCCAAGATCTCATCATTTAAATGAAGCTCAGACTCTTGTGCTTTTTCTAAGCACCTCCAAAATCTGCCTGCAGACTGGATTAAGCCTAGCCCAAAACACAGCAATTACAAGAGCAGAATTGGGCACCAAGTTCAACCACCTTCCCATTCTTGCCAGGCAGACTTGGCACTCTCACCTATCACTTCCTACCTTAAAACTTGAACTACTGGGAAGAGAAAGCCGGAAATGAATTCTTAGAGTTGGTGTATAGAAAAGAGGAATATAATATCCAGAGCACGTGAAGGCCAAAGAAAAGGGCAGCAGTCCAACACCGAGTCCTGGGTTCATGCTCCTGTGCACTGTTCTGGTGAATGCAAGATGCATAAATGATAAATTTAAGAAGTCATATCTGAGATGAACAGTTAGCTACACAGCTCTGGACTGCTCTCCAGAGCTAGCTTTCATAAGCTAGTTCAAGTACCTACCTACACCAACTTCTACTGGCAGCACAGTCATAACATTTAGAATATGAATAAACAGGAATGCACGGCTAAGGGTAGCTTTGGTGAAGATGGAAGAAAACAGAAGGGTGACTAGCATCTGCACAACTCCCAGGCTGAAATTCACAGCTGTCGAAAAATCTATGTTCTGCAAGGTAGCCAGAGATGCAGAGTAGTGCAGGATTACAACTAATGTTACTGCTCTGTAGACAATGCTGACAAGGAAAAGCGAATGTTCTCTAATCCTTACAAGCAAAACTTTTCAATCTTCTAAAAAATAGCACTAGAAAGTGGCAAAAAGGGGATCTTAGCTTTGACTTTCACACTTGTTCAGTATTAATTAATAGCATCTTTATCAGTCACTTTAGTGAAGGAGGAAATCAGGCATCAAATCTGATTACGCATCCATCCTGGAATTAATTCCATTGCAAGTCACAATAGACAGAAAAACAGGGCAACAAAGGAAAATGTCCGTCACATGTCACCCATCACAGTGGAAATTTTCTTGTTTAGAGGTGCCAATTTGTAAGCAGGGCATTCAGGATACATCTTCATTTATTAAAAGATTCCAGGCGCAAAGGCCATCCAGCTGCAATAGTTATACTGACAGATGAGCACTGTTTACATTCCTCCAGCAGAATGAGATAATACAAGAATGCCAAAAATTCAGCCAAATCTGCTGAAGAAAATTCTCTCCTTCCCAAAACATGTGAATTCTGAGCAATGGGATTTTCCACAACTGTAGAGTGCCATTTTCCAATTTCCGCACTTCGCAGTGATCTATTGGCTGGTCTTGCACAACTATAAACACAGCGGTACGTTTGTTAAATGACATCCTTTTAGCTGGATATTTTGCTAATCTCCTATTCAGTTTCCTGGGCAGCAACTCTGAAGAATAATAGTTGAGTTGGAAAAGCTCTTCATTTTGACATGAAAGACTTGTGATTCTTTTCCAACTGAATGAAGAGAACAAGTACAGTAGTTTTCTCACAATACACTACCCTGCTTTAAAAAAACACACATACCATTTTCCCCTTTACCGTCATCTCTTCAGCTTGTACTTCAAAAGAATGTTCATATTATTATACAATGTGCTGATATTCTGGTTTAAATCATAAATGTTTGGGAACAAAGAGTCCCAGCAAGAATGATACTCCAAAAAGTAACACTTAGTTTCAATTTGTGATACAGCTTCAAAATGAGCATTTCTGTATAAAGTAATTCTTTGTCTTTTTTTTTATTTTAATGAGATAATATTAAAAGTTGGCAAAACAGAACAAGGATGAACAATTATATTCTTTAGATGAATAAAATCTTACATAAGAGGCAAATCCTGCCCTTGCTGCTTTGATTTAAATGGAAGTTAGATCTAGCATTTGATGTACATCCTATGCTCTGGGCACATGAGTGCAAAAATTGAAATATACAACCCAAAACAATATTAAGGACTGCCTATCCCACATCACAGATGAATATCTACCAGCCTACACAAGGACAATTAAATCTAAATTCCTAAATGGAGATCAGATGGCACAGGAGATTACAAACATAATATGGGTCATTTCATCTCTAGTTTACTGTTTTACATACAATCCAAATGAGTATAGTACAAAAAAAAAGTCATTAGCAACAGACATCTGCTGGTAGACAAATGAGCTGATCTCAACCCAGCTTTTTCTGGATACACAGATAAATTGGGACAGAGGAGAGATGAGGAGGAGAAGTGGCAAGGGAAGCACCAGGAAACGTACGCAGCTAGAAAACTTCCAGCGCCTCGGAGAGAAGGCTAGAACTGCCCCATCTCTTGATCCTTACTGGCCTGGCAAGCAAAACACCACAGGAATAACAGCAGCGCTTTACTGGGAATTTCGGTTTCCAGAGCTATGAGCATTTTTACAAGCAACGCTATCTTTAAGAAAGGATTTTTAAAGTTACATAATAAATAACTTTCCTATATTAGAAGGGAAGCCAGAAATTATTCTGTTTAAGTGCTCATGTTGCTTCACAACAAGACAGGCTTTCAGACACTTCATCAAGACTGTCATCACATATCATGGCACTGATTTACATTTAAAGGGGAAAAGGAAGGATTTTGCTCTCAAAACCTAGGCTCTACCATACACAGGCATGACTTAGTTGAGAGCCAGATTTCAACATTCATTGTTAGGCCAGTGAGCTACAAGCAAGAAAAAGGGCATGTGACATGGGGAAGAGGTACTCCTCAAACAAGTTAGAATTAACATTTCTTGTAAGAGCCTTTTTCCTGGGAATGTGGATGAACACTTTCAGGCTTCACTGACAATGAAGTAATGCACACACATACACAAGGATACAGTAATACACAACTAAAAGCAACAGATTTCACTGAGATCTAGTACCATGAATTCTAAAAATGAGAAAAGTCTATGGAGGAATGAGGTGGTCCACAGTATAAGCTCCTTTTCCTTTCTTTCACTTGTATTTCTTTCAACCTTCATAAAATGATTACTAGGTTGCTAGACTATTTTTTAGTCCCAGAGAATAGAAAAAGAACACAATCTACAGTTAAAATACAAAGTATTAATCTTGCCTTTTCCCAGATAATAACATCCGGGTAATCAAAGCAAGACAACATGGCTGTAAAGTCCAGGCAGAGCGAAACTTATGAACAGCAAGAATCACAAAGAGTTAACATCAGCCAATAACAACCATTATTCCATTTTAGGAGTAATTATTTGAACTAAAAATTCAAGCAATTTCTAAAATGGAAAAAAAAAAAAAAAAAACCTGTTCAAGAACTTCAGCATAAATTAAGTCAACTCAATATATACAAAGAATTAATAAAATTACTCCATATATAAGCCAAATACAATATTACAAATATTTATTCAGTTCCATTCCAATTCTTAAGCAAGGGAAACAGATCCAGAGCTTGGAGGAGAAGTTACAAATATGTTTCAGGTCTCTTAAAAATACTGCTTTTAAAGAGAAGATACAGGAACATTGCAACTGAAAAGAGTCTATGTTTTAATTAGAATTTAGGTTGATGAAATGAATACAGGTAAGTAATATGTAAACTAAATGAGATAATCAAAAGTCAAGCAAAATAGATTTTTATTGCTGTATTCTTTGTCCCTCTGATTTAATAAACTGTTGGCCACGTCCCACAGAGGTGCAGAGGTTCTCCAGGGATACAGCACAGGATGCTTTTATTAAATAATGCCATCAACTTCTGGGGATATTTTTAAAGTAATTAAAAAACACCATTATTTCTATACCTGGAACAAGTTAGAAGAATGAACTATTCCTCCATTCCAGCATAAGGGAAAGCATTAGACATAATACATGTTGTGGTGGGTACTGTTAACATTCTGTTAAAAACTAAATCAAGTTTACAAACCACCATTTAGACAATAGCCCAGTTGTCCCAGTATTAATAAGGCTTTTTCCTTTTAAACCAGTTCTTATTCCATTTTCTGTTTGTTTGTTCCTTTGCTATGACAGTAAACACTCAAGTCTCAGTTCAGAGCACTCCTCTTAGTAATATTATGACCTATAACCAAAGTTGATGTTACACAAAACTTGTCAGATAGGAAGACTTGGTTGGTACAACAGGATTGCCTGCCATATGCTTTGCTTATTTGCATCAAAAGGAATCAGTTCTTTTGGGTTCTTATCTTCTTTTTGCTGAACTGCAACATTCCTTAACACTGCACATTGCAAAATTTGGAAGGGTGAAACAGCACAGAATGGGGAATGAAGGGAAGACTGACTGCCCAATTCAAGTTCAATTTTCATTTCTTTCTTTAATCATCCTCAGCTGAAATGCACCCATCACTATTTTCAGCTGGTTTGGGCTGTTCTGTCAGCAGCTGATCTAGTTAGTAGAGAGGGAGCAGAATCTGAGAGCATGAGGACACCAGACCTGCTGCCTGCTCCACAGGAAAGCACTTGTAAAGCCATTTTTGGCTTTTAACCTTTTTCCTGCCTTTTCTGCAGCTTTTTCCACACAAATTCTACTACATTCTCTTTCCCAAAGACACCTGCAGAGTATAGCCACAAGGTCAGTTAGAGAGACCAGGACACCACCACCCCTGAAGGAGCAGTATGGGGAGCAGCAGGGGCAGGTTTGGGAACAAGCATTCCCCAGAAGCAGCAATGCCCTTCTCCTGCCCCTCTCCCTGCTGCCTGCATAGATCCATTAGCTCCCTTCAGGCCAGCACCAGTACTTGGGTGGGCCAGACCTGAGCTGGCAGAAGGAAAACCCAAGAGACTTATTATCAGTGTAGAAAGGCTGAAAACAAGAGCCAAAAAGCACGAGGGGGGAATGTAGGACCATGGCTTTCAGCAAGCACAGCCTTGATTCTGCCTTAAACCTCATCATTGGGTGGAATAGCCCAAGAATGTGTCTGGGATATAACCACAAGTAGGAGAGAGCACAGCCTTGGCCAGGATGCAGCAGTCATTTTGCTGTATGCCTCCATAAACAGGTCACAAATACTGCACCGGCTCCGGCTGCCAGACTCTATCAGCCTGGCTGGACCCAAGGTGGGGAAGGTAACCAGGCAGTGCCCAGTGAGCTACAGATGCTGCCCGTGTTCCCCAGTGTAAGTGGGCAGTTCATCTGGCTAGGGTTTAAGCTATGAATCCCAACAGAGCGTTTGTCCCATCGATGCTGTGTTTTATAACCAGCTATGCCGCTTCTGTTGGCCAGTAACATCTCGCACAGCACAGGACAGGCGCTGCTCCCAAATAACTCGACTCCGGTTTCACATTCCTCACCTCCACGTTTGCGCTGCCCGGTGGTTTATTTTACAGATTCCCTGGCCTCGAGAGGCTGCTATCAAGTTCCTCCAGCCCAGCCGCAGCCCTGCCTCCCTGTCCC